TGTGTGTGTGTGTGTGTGTGTGTGTGTGTGTGTGTGTGTGTGTGTGTAGCGGGGAGGGGTTGTACGTGTGGGTCAGGTCACTTGGGGTGAAAGCCCTCGCCAGCCCCTCCCCCACATTCCTGGCGGGAGTGGGAGATAAGGCTCAGGGCCACAGACATCTACGTCAGAGATAGGAGGTCTCAATGCCATGGGCAGGGGCAACTGGACTGCGGGGCGTGGGAAGGGCTGGGGAAGACTGGGGTGAGAAGGGTAGAAGAGGGCGGGTGGTGGGATGGGGAGGGCAGAGTGGGGAGGCCGTGGGCAGACCCTGGCAGAAGGGGTACGGGGCAGGGTGCGGGTTCACCATTGGCAGGGCCAGGTGAGCTATGTGGCCTCAGCTGCTTCTCTTGCTGCTGGCCCCACGGGGTGGGCATGGCTGCCATGGGCCGGAGCTGGACCGGGAACTTGTCCTGGCCAAGGTGAGGGCCCTGTTCCTGGATGCGTTGGGAGCCCCAGCAGTGACTGGGGAAGGTGGGAATCCTGGAGTCAGGCGTCTGCCCCGAAGACATGCTGTGAGGGGCTTCATGCGCAGGGGCTCTGAGCCCGAGGAAGAGGATGTCTCCCAGGCCATCCTTTTCCCGGCTACAGGTAACGAGGGTGGGGAGCTGGTAGCTTGACTTTGGTAAACAGTGTGGTACTGCAGGGGCTTGGGAGCCAGGCAGGTCTGCGTTTGAATCCCAGACCTGCGACTCAACTGGCCTTGCAGTAATGGACCAGTTACTGAACCTTCCTGAGCCTCTGTCTCCTCATCTGTAGAAAGGGCAATAATGCCTGCCTCTCAGGATTAAGTGAGATGGTGTATCTAGCGTGCATGGTTCACAGGAGGCATTTGGGAGATAGTCGGCTGGGAGGCCAAGGGTCTCTAGGGACAGCGACATCTGGGCATGGGCCCCTTCCTGCCATCTTTCCTTCTATCTTTGCTTTTGTTCCCTGCTCCAAACACTGTTTCTTTAGCCCCAAGTAGCTGAGACTTGAGAAGATATCAGGGATGCAGGAGAAAGATTAGCTGGGAAACTAGTCTACCTTCTCTTGAGTTCTCTCCTCATCTCCCCATGTTGCACTGACTCAATGAGTAAAGCCCTCCTGTGGCTAAACTTTCTTGTAATCTGGCCCGCTTTGCTCTCAGAGAGGAACCCTTGCCTCCCTGCACTTCGGGCCCCGTGCAGCACAGTGAGTGTGGCTTTGGGATCAGGCAGAATCCCAGCCTGGCTACTTAGCAGTTAAATGACAGTTCATCTTTCTAACCCTCAGTTTTCTTATCTGCAAAATGGATCAGTTGTGAGGTTTATATTGAGATAACCCACATAACCCTACAGCCCAAGCTGCCAGTTCTTCAGCTCATGCTGGTTCATGATCGTTTGGTGCCATCTATATACCTGTCAGGGTAAGGATGCCAACTGCATTTTCTTAGAAAGCACTGTCCTCGTTCTGAGTTACATCCTTTCTCCTCCCCGCTCCTCCTTCTCCTCCTTCTTCTTGGTGTTAACCTGCCTTTTTAAGGTGGAATTATTTTAAAGACTTTCTCATGCAATATTTCTGACACATAAAAAGACATAAAGAGTAATATAACGAGTGCTTGTGTACACAGCATTCAAGGTACCATTTCATAGTATCACATGAACAAAAATTTAAATATAACTATCAATTCTAGGCCTTGGTGAGGGGAGAAAGTGCAGGCCATCTTACACGTCGCTGATGGGAATATTAATTGGTAAAACCACTTCAGAGAGAAGTTGGCAACGTCTGGTATTTTTGTAGTCCTTTAATGATGAAATAACAAACGGGGAGCCTCTGTCAGTTCCCCCTGAGACTGAGGAGAGTCCCGCTCTGGCAAAGCACTCAGTAGGGCGCTTGGCAAGCTTATGAGTGGCAGCCACATCCCTCCTGCTGAGGAGGAGGGTCCCGGGTTCTGCCAGTCAGGGCTGCTCTCTCCCTTCCCTCTGCCTCCTACAGGTGCCCGCCTCGGGGACAAGCCAGCTGCCGGAGAGCTGGCCCAGGAGGCCAAGGAGGGCCTCTTTACATATGTGTTCCGGCCATCCCAGCACACACGCAGCCGCCAGGTGACGTCGGCCCAGCTGTGGTTCCACACGGGACTGGACAGGCAGGAGACAGCAGCCGCCAATAGCTCTGGGCCCCTGCTCGGCCTCCTGGCACTGTCGTCCGGGGGTCCCACAGCTGTGCCCATGTCACTGGGCCAGGCACCCCCTCGCTGGGCTGTGCTGCACCTGGCCGCCTCTGCCTTCCCTCTGCTGACCCATCCCGTCCTGGTGCTCCTCCTGCACTGTCCTCTCTGTTCCTGCTCAGCGCGGCCCGAGGCCACCCCCTTCCTGGTGGCCCACACTCGGGCCAGGCCTCCCAGCGGAGGGGAGAGAGCCCGCCGCTCCACGCCCCCGCTGCCCTGGCCTTGGTCTCCCGCCGCGCTGCGCCTGCTGCAGAGGCCTCCGGAGGACCCCGCCGCGCACGCCGACTGCCACAGAGCGGCCCTCAACATCTCCTTCCAGGAGCTGGGCTGGGAACGGTGGATCGTGCACCCGCCCAGTTTCACCTTCCACTATTGTCATGGGGGCTGTGGGCTGTCCACCCCGCCGGACCTGTCCCTGCCAGTCCCCGGGGCACCCCCTACCCCTGTCCAGCCCCTCTCTTTGGTGCCAGGGGCCCAGCCTTGCTGCGCTGCTCTCCCAGGGACCATGAGGCCCCTACGTGTCCGCACCACCTCGGATGGAGGTTACTCTTTTAAGTATGAGATGGTGCCCAACCTGCTCACGCAGCACTGTGCTTGCATCTAAGGGGGTCCATCTAAGGGGGTCCTGCTGGTGGCCGAGTCGCCACCATTACCAGCCTGGAGGAAGGGCAGGGTTCCCACCTCCCCGCTCCTTCCACCTCTCTGCCTGGCGGCTCCCCTCCCTATCCCGTCCCTGTCCCACGGGTAACGTGACAATAAACAGCATAGTGCATATGACTCGGTGTGTATTCTTAGGCTTCTCTGACACGTTGTGTGTGTCGGGGTGAGGTCTGGGCCCCGGGAGCATGGGATTGTGGGATCTCAGGTCACTCAGCCTCACTTGACCTCAGAGATGTGGGGTTTACCAGCTGTAATTGGATGTGTATCTGGTAGGAAGCTACAATGCTTGGGGATGACAAAAAGGTGCTTCCCAGCTCAGGACAGCCACTCTGGAGCCAGAACTGGCCGTCATACAAGCTGGACCTGATGTGTTGGTTGGGTGGCCTGCTGTGCACACCTCATAGTGCCTACGCCCAAGTGGCCTAACCGCCCCCTCCTTGCCACACTCTGCCCTAGCTGATGGATGCCTAGCTCAAGGTCAGGCGATTTATAGATGTGCCCTGTGTATCTTTACATAATCCCTTAACTCAGCCCTTAATGTCAGACGGTGGAAAGGCAGAGAAACCATTTGCTCTTGTGTGAACTTGTGCCCACACTGAGAGCCCAGAGTGCACAGAGTCCTTTTCTTTTCTTTTCACGTTGCATCTCCTATCAGTCCATTCTGCCCCACCTTGACTGGGCCCCACTTCCCTGGCCTTCCTGCTTTCTTTTTCACTCTCCTCCTTCTCCCCTTGGTCTTAGTATCCTCCTGCTCTGCCCTAGGTCCTGGCTCTCAGCCAGTAGGTTCCATCCAGTCTCCCTTTAAGGTGTGTGTGTGTGTGTGTGTGTGTGTGTGTGTGTGTGTGTGTGTGTGTGTGTGTGTAGGGGGAGGGTTGGGGATGTTCAGGTCTCTCAGATCGAAACTCTAGAGCACTTTCTGATGTTGACTGCACAACTGCAATGTGTAGTTATGCTAACACAAGACTCCCTCCTACTAATCCAGATCCACGGAATGGGCCGGTAAGTTCCTGTCCCAGGAAGGGGTGTGGAGGGGGGAGAATCCCAACCTGTCACCTTAGGCTAATGCCTTCTGGATACTTGAGCTGAGCTGGGTGAGCTATTGTTCCTCACAGCACCAGAGCCCCCAGGGCAGCCCACTCCGACTGAGGCCCACTCCGACTGCATGAGGCCCGGTCTCAGTTGATGCTGCTGCTAGGGAGTTGGGAACCCGCCTGTTCACAGGCCTGGGTCTCTCCCAGCACCTTCATCGACACCCAGCATTGCAACTGGTATGCTCAGGGCCCCTGGGCTCCCCACTCAGGCGGGGGACTGGGGAGAGGGCTGGTTGGGCTGGGCCAGTGGTGGGAATGGGAGATTTTCCTCAAGGCCGTCTAAGCACCGCTCTCTCCCTGTCTGGCTTCCCTTGCCTGGTCACCCCTGCCCTGCACGAGGCTTGTCCCTGAGATCTTCAATCCCCTTACTAGGCTTAGGATGCTCCCTCTTCCTGCTGGGGCCATCTAGGACCCTGTGATGTCCAGACGTTCCCTGTGCCAGGGATGTGGATGTCATCTGAGGGCTGGGGACACTCTACCTAGGGCCACAGGGTTCTCTACTAGGCCAGTTAGCAGATGGGTGTTGCTAGGGAAGTGTTTTCACATATCTGATACAGAGTGAGAGAAATGAGT